AAATTGTGCTGCTATAAACATAGGCACACATATATCCCTATGATATGATGTTTTCAGATCCTCTGGGAAAATTCCCAGTAGAGGGATAGCTGGTTTAAATGGGATTTCCAGTACAACTTTTCTAAGGAGTCTCCACACTGATTTCCGTAACGGTTGCACCAGTCTACATTCCCACCAGCAGTGGAGAAGTGTTCCTTTTTCCCCACAGACTCTCCAACATTTGGTCCTAGACTTAAAAATACTGTCTGTCCCTGCTCCATCCATTACTCTGTGGAAATGAGATGAGGTCGTGGAGAACTACATATCGATGCTCATAAGACCTGAAGTCCCACATGCCCTAGGTGATCCGCTGGTTTTTCCCATGTGTATACTAAGCTTCTTTGTTATTTTTTGTTGAGTGGGTACTGCCTTCATAGAAATAGTTCATTTAAAATTTAAAAAATTGGGGAGATGGCTCAGTGGAATAAGTGCTTCCCTGGCAAGCACAAGGGCCTGAGTTCAATCCCTGGTTCTGTCAAAATAAATAAATAAATAAATAAATAAATAAATAAATAAATAAAATGGATGAACATGACAATTCTTTTCTGTTTTATTTTATTGGTTTTGGTTTGGGTTTTTTTGAGACAGGCTCTTGTTATGTAGTTCAGACTGGTTTGAACATACTATGTATGTATCCCAGGCTGGTCCAAATGTGTGGCAATCCTCCTGCGTCAGCCTCCAGAGTGCTGGGATGACATGCATGTGCCTCCAGCAGAACAACTCTTGCACCTCTTTAAGTTTTATATTTGCAGGTAGAGGTTTACAATGAGAAAAATAATGCAAATCTATTTGTCAAAACCTACTATAGGGATGGGGCCGGGGAGATGGCTCAGTGGAATAAGTGCTTCCCTGCAAGCAGGTGCAGAGGCTGGGGGTTTTGATCCCCGGCCCCAACCCCGGGGCGCACTGAGAGTGGACATGATGGCACGCACCTGTAATCCCAGCTCTTGGGAGGCTATGAACAGGCGGATCACTATGAGTCTGATCTAGTAGTGAGACCCTGAACAAACACCCTGTAGACCCTTCCCTAAAATACAAAAACAAAATACAAAATACAAAAACAAAAAACAAAATAAAACAAAAATGTACTGTAGAACTGGGAATAGGGACAACCCACTCGGGCCACCTTCTGTCCCTCTCTTAGACAGAAGCTTTCTTTCCCCCCAGTCTGCTCT